GACCTATTTTAGAGTCTTGGCAACAAATCCTACTGCATTATGGTCCTCCAAAGTGTTCTCTGTGTGTTCAGCAACTAGCAAACTAGAATCCAGGCGGGTCAGAGAACCTGATTCACCTTCTAATTTTTAGGAAAGAAAAAAAAAATCCTTTGATAAGCTAGCAGAGGGTTAATGAGGGCTGAGACCAAACCTGAGCGCCGAGCCTTCCCAACAGAGGCCATGTAACCGATACCCACCCAGCTCATCAGTAAAAGTGCATGGAAACGGCCAAGAAAATAAGAGACGGGAGAAAGCTTTCGGTGGCCGATCATTTTGGCCTCGGACCAGCTGAAGCCAGCCCCGAGCACTGAGCCCCAGAAAAGACAACGGGGCAGACTTAGAATGCACCACAAGCAAACAGTGGGAGCCCGCGGGGGGAGTGGGCAGCATCGGAATGAGCAAAAACGGAAGGAACAGAGGAGCCGTGGGCACAGAGGGGTCCCGGCAACAAAGCCCAAGCTGATTCAGAAGGCCTCCAGGAGGCTGCGTCAATGGTATTTATTTTTGTTTTCTTAAGTTCCCAGATAACCTTCTAATTCCAGCCTTCTCCTGGGCTACTCAGAAATCGAGCGCAGGAGAAAACACAGACTAACAGCAGCAGCTCATGCCTGGCCCACAGCTTAGCTGGCAGACACCGTTTCCAATAAAAATCACGAACTGCCAAATCCATGTCTATGGAGTGGTTGTGTCCTGGTGGCCCCAGGACAAAGTATAACTGCCCCACAGGTTTCCAAGGGGTCGTCCTCATGGAAGCTAATTTCTAGGTCTTTTATCCTGGGCAGCAGCCGATGGGTTCAAACTGCTGACCTTTCGGTTAGCAACCTACTGCCCACGAGGGCTCCTTACCAGTGATGCAGCATCAGGAGGAAGAGGGATCTACTGGGAAGACCAGGAGGGGAGGTGAATGTATCACATGTCCACCTATTAAGATCATGTTTTAAATTTTCATGGATCAACCATGCCCAAGCAGGAGACGCTGGGGTCTCACACACTCTTCAAAGTCGATCTCTCAGCCTTCTTACTCAGGAGCCAGGCAGGGCTCTTTTACTCCCGCAAAGAGCTCCAATCTCAGAACCCCACCGGGGTCGTTCTGCCTGCCCTGTGGGTTGCAATGAGAAGGGACCGGCAGCAAGTGAGGAGGTTGGTTTTCTTTCTTACTAAACTTAGCTCCTCCATGATTTTTGGATGTCCCGTCCGTCGTTCCCAAGAGCTGTTGCCTTGAGCTGACCTCTGTCTCCCTGCTGGTCAGGATGTTGTTTTTGGCTTTCAGCACGGGAACAATTCCTCCTGTTTAGCCTGACCAGGCCTTGCATGAAGAAAGTTCAGTGTACTGTAAACAATATGGTATTTACAGATACATGCACACACACACACATGCCGCAAGCCCTGGTCAGCCTCAGAGTCGCCCTCCTGAATTCCAGTCCCCTGGGGATGAGAAACCTCTGCAAGGTGTCGGAAAGGGCGGTCTCATCTCCACGGCCTTTCTCTGCACGGTTCGTCAGCTGTCACCCTCTGTTGACACGTGCAGGGAGCACAGCCCACTGAGTCAAGACGAACTGTTGGCTGCCAGCAAAACAAGCCCACGCCACTCTGAGAGGGCAGCACGCCGTCCTCGGGGAGAAGTGAAATTAAGGGTCCGTGTGTTTCCTGGTAAAGGATAGAATGGGCCCAAAGATGAGTCTTAGCCTGTAAGCAAGTTCGGCTCAAGGTCAGTGGCTGCCATCTGCTCAAAGCTGATGAGTAACCCCAAGTTGTTCGTACCTGGCAGCTAAGGAGTGGGCACCGTTCTAGCTGCCTTGACATTCCTTTGGGGAAAGCTCTGAACTGAGGTACAGGAAAGCTAACATTACCACAAACCACCCTCTTCAACCAGCTTGTCGGGTGGGGACAGGTTTTGTTCCAGCAAAGTCAAGGGGATCACAGTAATGAGATGCTTCTCCCACCACCCACCGTGCTCAAGGGGGTAGAAACCAGCTTCTGACCGATGGCCGCGCAGAGCAAGCCACCTGCAATAAAACAGCAGAGAAACCTGCCCGCTAGGAGGCCCTCCCCCGCTTGGACACCGTTCATTTTGTTGTTGAAACCAGGGAACTGGAGAGGCCCAGACCCAGGGTGCAGCCTTCGTGTGACATCAAACTCCCTGGGAGCAGCGGCGATGGCTTTTTGGGGTTTTTCTCCCTACTTCTTTCTCTTGCAAGGTGGGTGACAGTTTGCAGGAGTGATTGGTTTCCCATGGAACACTTCCGACGTGGTGCTGCATTTCCTGAAGCACAGCCCACACAAAAGAGCATCTGGACCCCACCCCTCCCCCACGTGGCCGGGTCCCTCCCTCCTCTGGTCCCAACCCTTCTGGCCTTTGTCCCTGGGTGTGCTGCTCTTTGGAATTCGAATAACTGGTAGCTCTAAGGTGTGCGCACTACTGTCACTGTTCCCGAGAGACCTAGCCCCTTGCCAGGCAGGAAATCAAACCAAGGAGCAGCTACAATTCGGAGATGACCTTTGGGCACGGTGCTAGCCAACCAGGGTCGAGAGAAATGTGCTGGCCCTCCCCATCCGGAGGGCGGGCTTTAAACCTTCTGCCCCAGGATGACCTGGGGGAGAGCCAAGGGCCGGAGCAATCAGAAACCTGCTCTTGGGACAGCAGAAGACACCTTCGCTCACCCCGCCTCCAGGGAACAGGTTGAGGGGGGCTAGAAGAGTCCGAAAGAGCTCACCCCCCACTTACTGTGGAGGGACACCTGCACAGGTCCTTGAACCTCTCTGAGCCTCCCTTTCCTTATCTACACAGACAAGGATCCCCTGGGACAATGAGTGGGAACAAGCCCAGCAGCCACGGTCCCTGCCTCAGTGAGGTCTAAACGGACGGACGCCTTTCTTTTTGCTCCATCCAGCCATTGCACACGAACACCTCTTTGCAGAGAGACGGAATTAGAATCATGCGGCCTACTGGAG